AAAAAAAAACTCTTCCAAATATGTAATAAAGAACCCAGTGGGAAAATAAGCAAAATATATGTATATAATTCACAAAAACATAATTATAAATGATTAATAAAAATATCAAAATGTGCTCAAATTTACTCATAATTAAAGAAATATACATTAAAACAAGGAGATATTGCTTTTTAAATCTATCAAATGAACAAAGATTAAGATTGATAATGTTCAGTGTTTTCTAGAAGGTAAGAAAACAGGAACAGTAAACACTGTTGAGTTCTTGGCACAACTTTTTCTAAGGATATAATTGATCATATCCAGCAAAAATTTTAAGTGCTCCAACAATTCCACTTCTAATAATTTATCCTACAAATACACTCAATTTGGGTGAGCAAAAATATATATAAAAGGACATCTACTTCATCAGTATATACGTATCTAAATACCCACCAGTAAAAGAGTGGTTAAGTATTTATGATATAGTCCTAGACTGAAATACTATATAGCTATTAAAAAGAATGAAGTAGATTTTTATGCACCGATATGGGAAGATACCCAAAACATACTATTAAATGAAAACATCGAGCTACAAATCCTATTGCTACAAAGCCCATTTGTGTAAAAAAGTTTGTATATTAATGAAAAATGTCTAGAAGCATTAATAACAAGTGGTACTGAGGGACTAAAGAGTGATTTTGTTTTTCAGTGTATACATTTGTTATATTTGAAGTTTTTTCAATTAACAGGTTATATTTACCTATAAAAATAATTTTTAAATAGAAACCATAAATCAAGGATTATGACTGATGATGATCATAAAGTGGGAGAAGATAAATGTCTGTCACAAAGCCAGTGACAATTGGGGTTTGGGTCGCCAGGAAGGAAGTCTCAACTAACAATACCCACAAGTCTCAAGCAAGTTCTAGTTTAGAAGAGCAAAGAAAAGGGAAGAGACTGACTACAAGTTGAGAGTGTAGGTATAGCAGTAACTATGCTGGAAAGATCCACAAAGTTTCATGAAGGCAGAGTCTGGGTCATATTCTTCCCTGTGATCTCAGCACCTAACAGTGCCTAGCAAATAGTATGCACATTCAGTAAATGATTGTTGAGTGAGAAGAAGCTGAGTGAGGGAGAATGCCTGGTCAGCTGTGATATAAAAGAAGAGTTTTAAAGACATCCTGCTTCAACCAAAATTACTAATGTGGATATTTCAGAGTTTTCTAATGAGATGGTTTCTGGACCACCGGTTTTTGTTAAGTGCATCCAGAGACTTTGGCTAGTTGAAACTTACCTCTGGTTTAGAAATAAATGGAAAGCAAAATAGTAGAGTGGTTAAAAGGGCTCTAAAGTTAGAGGGTGTGGGTTCAAATCCCACCTCCACCCTTTAATTGACAAGCATTAGTTTCCCTCTCTATAAAATAGGATAATAACCCTCATCACTCTTTTGTAACTTTCCTTACTGCAGAAGATTCAGAATTTTATTTATCTCTGCGTTTCTAGTCCCTAGTATAGCATCTGGCACACAGTAAGCAAGCTCTCAGTAAAGATCTGTTGAATGGCATGAATGATTTTTATGACCTGGAAACTTAAATTTAAGCTCCTCCCTGAGTTGAAGACTACTTACTGAAGATCATTCTTCCAGGATCAGCTAAAATTTCTTCTCTATAATAATCTCCTGGATGCCCTCATTTAGCATTCATCTTCTCTGCGCCTCCCCTCTCTTTCTCCTTTCTCTCCTCTCCACAAGTAATGCTAACACTTTTCGTCCTCCTTTTGAAAGACTGTTCATTAGCATAAGTGAAGTGGTTCTGGGTCTGGAGTCAAAACTGCTTGGATTTGAACCTTGGCTCAGCTACTTACTGATGACCTCTCTATATTTCAGTTTCTTCACATGCAAAATGGGATATTAATATTACCTAACCTATATGGTTATCGTGACGATGAAATGAGATAACGAGCTTCTGGAACATAATAAGCACTAGAAAATGTTATTCTTCTTCTTTTAACATTTCTGACTTCTCCAGACAGGAGTATAAGAGACGGTTTTAAGAGTACAGATCTCATCTAATTTTTTCTGTATACAGTATCCAAAACAATGTTTTGTACATAAGATACTAAGCAAGCACTTCTTGAATGAAAAAAAAAAAAATCATCAAATTAGCATCACAATGTAACTTCATTTTAGAAGAAAGAATACTTACAGGCAGGTTCAAGGCTAGAAAGCCACGAGGTACTTATTTTAGTCAAATATTTATATAGAAGCTAAGCAGGATAATTCTACTAGCAAAACAGTGGCTAAATTCTAAAGTAATGGGTCTCCTCGAAGCTGCAAAGACCTGGTTTGGGTGTAATATACCCTTGCTTCCCTTCCCCCCAGGTACATCGTCACCATGACCACATCATCTATAGAGGGATCATAGACAGCACATTCAGACAAGCACTGGCTTCGTAAGTTAGATTCTATCTGCCTTCTTCTCCGCCCCCTGTTCACATCACCACATCACAGTGGTGTCGCATAACTCTACTTCTATGTGAAGCTTTTCTGCCTGACCTCCTCAACCTCATTTCCTTTCTACTACCAACACATCCAAAATGGTGTCACAGAGCTGGCAAGCTGAGACAGGCATTAGCTTTATATTGAAAGAGGAGCTTGAACAGAGTTAATCATTCCAGTTGCTATAAATAGAATTTACTCTGAAGGGAACTATTACTCATCCTTAACAGAGAAGTGATATATGCCTAGAAAAGCATTTAATATTAACAGTAAGTTTTCACTAAAATTTTTATTGCCAATTATATCAAAATCTAAGGTGTGGATAAAATCTCAAATATTTTTTGGTATGAAACAAGACCTTAAAAAATTACATTGTGAAGGATTCTTATTCCCCACTACCACCACCCAAAATCATGCCAGCTAGAACTACTTAGCTCAAGAAGGGAGTACTTTCTTAATGCATGTGTTTGAGAGGGAGTGATTACTCAACTTTGTTATTTTTAGTTTCATATTACACACACATTCATGTTAAGAAGTAGGGAGGTTGCTTTTTTTTTTTAGATAAGCGCTTCCTAAATTTTAATGTACAAACAAATTGCCTAGGAATCATGTAAACTGCAGACTCCGATTCTATAGGGAGTAGGGGCTGAGAGTCTGAATTTCTAATAAGCTCCCAGGTGATGCTGATGCTGTTTGGTCCATGGGCTATATATTGAGTAGCAAGACTCAGTCTACAAAAAAGACAGCTGATCTCTAAAGTTAGTAAGACAGGAAACTCCCAATCCTGATACTACTAGTAGCCTTTGACCAGAGACTTAATTTACCTCAGTCTTTCCTGTAGCATGACTTACTATTCCCCATAAAATGTCATTACTATGCTTTTCCACAACTTCGCCTTTTTTCAGACTGTTCTCACTGGCTAAAATGCACTTCCCCACTCATTTCCAAATAGATTCCACTCATCCTCAAAGCCCAGGTCAAATACTTCCTTTCCCACGAACAAATGTGGCTCCCCCCTGAACTAACAGGCTTTTGAACTACCAAGGCACTTCATCTACACCACTGTCCTATAGTGTCATCATCTCCTACCTTTAACTAGGTTTTATAACATGTC